CTACCGTCAACAGTTTCCCTCTCGCTTTCTTTAGAATCCAATCCCAATAATTGGTTGTTGCTCCAGTGCATTGGACAATCCCTTATCCTCCCTCTATCACTTTATTTCTTTGGCTTAGTCTACCAAGACTGCCTGGGCATTTCAGATATGGCATATACTGTAGATTTCCCTGACTCGGCAGAGGACGATTGGGTGGGCTGCCTGAGCTTGTATATTACTGTGATTTGAGCTAGGGATAGGTTCCTTAAACTTAAGTTCCTTTACAGGGCTTATTATACACCCCAGTGCTTAGCTACTATGTATCCCACCATTCCCTCATGTCCTCACTGTCTTATGTCTGAGGCATCCTTTCTTCACATGGTGTGGCCCAGCCCCTCCCTCCAATCCTTTCGGATTGAGGTTGTGGCTGATATTAATAGTGTGTGTGTGAGTTGACCCTCAGATTTGATCCAAAGGTATTACTTCTGAATATTTTTGAAGACTCTACACTGGGGCGATATGTTATTTACAGTGTCTTGACAAAGTATTCATACCCCTTGAAATTTTCCATATTTTGTAATTTTACAACCAAAAATGTAAATGTATTTTATTGGGATTTTATGTGATAGACCAACACAAAGTGGCAAAAAATTGTGAAATAGAAGGAAAATGCTAAACATTTTTCAAAAAGTTCTACAAATAAATATCTGAAAAGTGTGACATGCATTTGTATTCAGCCCCTGAATCAATACTTTGTAGAATCATCTTTCGCTGCAATTACAGCTGCAAGTATTTTGGGGATGTCTCTACCAGCTTTGCACATCTAGAAAGTGAAATTTTTGCCCATTCTTCTTTGCAAAATAGCTCAAGCTCTGTCAGATTGAACGGAGAGCATCTGTGAACAGCAGTTTTCAAATCTTGCCACAGATTCTGGATTTAATTTAGGTCTGGACTTTAACTGGGCCATTCTAAAACATGAATATACTTTGATCTAAACCATTCCATTGTAGCTCTGGCTGTATATTTAGGGTCGTTGTCCTGCTGAAAGATGAACCTCTGCCCCAGTCTCAAGTCTTTTGCAGACTCTAACAGGTTTTCTTTTACAATTGCCCTGTATTTGGCTCCATCCATCTTCCCATCAACTCTGACCAGCTTCCCTGTCGAAGAAAAGCATCCCCACAACATGATGCTGCCACCACGTTTCATGGTAAGGATGGTGTGTTCAGGGCAATGTGCAATGTCAGTTTTCCGTAACGTTTTTCATTAAGGACAAAAAGTTCAATTTTGGTCTCATCTGACCAGAGCACCTTCTTCCACGTTTGCTGTGTCCCCCACATGGCTTCTCGCAAACATATACAATGCCTTGAAAAAGTATTCATACCCCTTGAAATTTTCCACATTTTGTTATATTACAACCGAAAATGTAATTGTATTTTACTTGGATTGTATGTGATAAACCAACACAAAATGGCACATAATTGTGAAGTGGAAGGAAAATGATAAATGTTCAAAATTGTTTTTAGAAATAAATATCTGAAAAGTGCAGCGTGCATTTGTATTCAGCCCCCTTTACTCTGATAACTAAAATCTAGTGGAACCAATTACCTTCAGAAGTCTCCTAAGCAGTAAATAGAGTCCACCTTTGTGTAATTTAAACTCAGTATTGACAAAACGTTGAACATTTCAAGGGGTATGAATAGTTTTTTCAGGGCACTCTATGTGGTCTCCCCTCCTCCCTATATTTCTGTCACTACTCCCCTCCTTCCCTCTGTGCAATCTCTTCCTTCCTCTTCCCATCCTCTCCTTTATGTCCTCCCCCTCAGCCTGCTACTTCTCAATTCACTTCTCTTGTAGTACTTGGAGCTCCTTATGAGTGACTTATTTTTGGTGGTCTGATATCTGAATATGGATTACATCATTATTGTTTGTTGTACCTACTGCCTTTTCAATAAAACCTTTATTGGTAAAAAAAAAAAATAAAAAAAATACTTGTTTCATTTAATATATTGCAGTATTTCGCAAGCTGTATCATTTCATGTTTTTTTTTTCCCAACTCTCTCCATAGAATGCAGGTGAAATATGGAGCATTCCTAAACCTATGCATCCCACTAAAAGTCTGAAAGATGTGTATGGTGTTCTTTATAAAAAATGTTTTTGATTTTTTTTTTTATTGAATGCATGATTTTTATCTTAAAGTGCTAGTAAAGGCTAATAACAATAATTCTTAAAAGTGTTGCCTCCCCCTCCCCTTACCTATCCTGAGAAACCTGTATTATTAGAAGCAATGTAAATACATTCTTTTAATCCCATTTGGTTATGTGATCTAGCAGCTCCAGCTCCCCTGTGTAAGGGAGCGCTCAACAACGGCTGTGAATTCCTGGAGCCATGATATCACTCACTGGCTCCCATTGCCCTCCATTGTCAATGCTCTCTCCTCTCCCCTCAGCAGCTGCTGTCTGACACAGGGGAACCAAAGCTTCTGGATCATGTGACCGGACCAGACAGAATTGAATAAAAGGTGTTTCCATTGATTTTTTTTTTACAAGCTATGCAGAATAGGAGGATGGCAGTATTTTTAAGAGTTATTGTTATTAGCCTTATTTTCCACTGTAAAGTGAACTTGAAGCGTAAAAGCAAAGATTAGTTATGTTATGGAATCATTAACAGATATTAATTCTGCTTAAAGTCCAACTTTGCTCGCTCTATCAACATTGATTATTTTACTCCTTATGCTACTAACATTAGTAAATAGATAGTAAATAGATAGAACGTATATAGTATTTCCTTGTTTTAAACTTTTTTTTAATGTTTCTTCAGTTACTTTCTGGTTTCTTGCCTAGGAAAATGATGTCATACATCCCATGAGCCTTCTGGAGGAAGGTGTTTTCTCAGCTAAGTACATCTTCCTGTTTGTATTCCTGAACTAAGGGCAAATGGATTTCAGGAAGTCAATGCTACATGAATCTGCCCTTACTCAAGATGTCCACGGCCAGAAATGCTAGGGGTCACTTTTCAAAGTGATATCTCAGCAAAATAAAGTATGGCAACAAAGATAGATGAGGAGTTTGCATTTAATGTTAAAAATGAATCAGATAGCATTTTTGCTTTGTGGTGTTCAGATGCAGTGTAGTTACCTTTTGTCTTCAATTCATCCTGAAAAATAGCAGTGTGCTTCCTGTGCCTTGAAACTCATAGCTATATATTTTCAGGGTGAGATCTAAGATACTTTGAATCTGATTCTAGTCTCACATGGTTTGGAGAGGGTTTTAGTAATGCCATTACTGTGCTGCTCAATGTTCTCCTTGCTAAAAGAAAGATGTACCTGAGGACCTGCAGTGCAAAAGTCTCCCTGCTTCTGCTTCATTCAATTTGTGAATCTGTGCTTCATCCACTTTTCCTGTTGCTTCTTAAATATATCTCCGCTAGTCATAAAATCATAAGGGCAGCTCTCACATGGGGAAGAAAAGCCCTGCCTCTACCAATATTGACAGCAGGGAGCCTACAGGCAATACTGGTGATTTGTTGTTTGTCTTCTGTTTACCCTTTTTGGCACAGCGTCCAGCGTTCAAGTCCTTTTAAAGGGCCAAAATATTTGTACTAGAAAATGCTATAATACCTGAGGCTCTGTGTGTTTTTTTTTTTTGTAAATTTTGGACAGAGTGGAGGAGGATTAAAAATCCTGTCAATTTTTATTGCTGTCTGTGTCTCTGTTAGGAAAATTCACCCTCTTTATTTGTCCTGTTTACCATTATCATCAACAGTGAAAGTTAAAGAAAAATATCCAATTTTGGGTTGACATCAGAACACTAATAGAGGGGCAATCTTCTAATGGGAAAATTAGTTCTGGTGACCCCAGTGGCACACTGAGTTTTCCTCACTTTGGAGAGATTTCTTCTCACTTCCTGTTTAAACTATGGGACAGGAAATAAAGCAAAATCTCCCCAATGGGACACAGATGGGGAAAAAACTGAACCACGAGTTCTGGTGATTCTAGTGACAAACTGGGATTCCCTCACTTTGGAGGAGTTATATCTCAATTCCTGTTTAGGCTATGGGACAAAACGTGAATGGGAATACTCCCCAATGGGAAACAGATGGGGGAAAAAAACTGATAGAGGTTGTAACCCTCCCTATCCGCAATGAAAAAAAAAAGTTTTGCCTATAATTCTACTTTAATGTTGCAATAGATAGATCAAAATTGTCCCCGTCAACAGAGACGGATTAATTTTGATCCATGTGTGGCCACTGCAGTTGAATAGAAGTTTATCTATCAATCGACTTCTGTCCAACTGCCCTGTCAGATAAAAGTTGCTCGATGACCAGCTGCAGCGCTGATCCGTGTATTCTGACAGAAAAAAAAAATGGATGGAGACTATAACCCTCTCTTACTAAAATGCTTCCCATTTGACCTAAATGGATTCAATTTAATTCACATCTTGGATCACAAATGATACTTATATGATTTTAAGGAACAGCACATAACAGGATCATGGCCTGGAAGTGAGTCATATTGGGCCTTATCCTTAACCACTTGCCTACCGGGCACTTATACCCCCTTCCTGCCCAGGCCAATTTCCAGCTTTCAGCGCTGTCACACTTTGAATGACAATTGCGCGGTCATGCAACACTGTACCCATATGAAATTTTTATCACTTTTTTGAGACAAATAGAGCTTTCTTTTGGTGGTATCACCTCTGGGATTTTTATTTTTTCTTAAACAAACCAAAAACCACTGAAAAGTTTGAAAAAAGACGTTTTTTCTTAGTTTTTGTTATACAATTTTGTAAAGAAGTGATTTTTCTCCTTCACTGATGTGCGCAAATGAGGCTGCAGTGATGGGCACTGATAGGCACTGATGAGGAGGCACTGGTAGGTTGCACTGATGGACATTGACAGGCATCACTGATGGGCACTGAAAGGCAGCACTGATAAATGACACTGATATATGGGGCTGATAGGCGGCACTGACTGGCACTGTTAGGTGGCACTGATTGGCAGCACTGATAGGTGGAACTGATTGGCATTGATAGGTGGCACTGACTGGCAGTGATGGGTGACATTGAAAGGCAGCTCAGATGGGCACTGATATGTGGCATTGATGTGCACTGGTATGCACTGATATGTGGCACTGATGGGCACTGGCACGTGGCACTGATGAGCACTGACAGGTGCACTTCTGGGGCCACAGTGATCATCAGGGCACACTGATCATCAGTGCCCAGATGATCAGTGTACATGTCCCCTCTGCGGAAAGCCGATTACCGGCTCTCCTTTCGAGCTGTCAGCATGACAGCTCGAGAGGAGAGAAACGCCGATAACTGGCATTTCCGTGTTTACATGTGATCAGCTGTGATCGGACACAGCTGATCATATGACTGAGCCGATATCTTCGGCTCTTTCTGTGACCCGCTGTGTCCGAGGGACACAGCGCACCGGCGATCGCCGCGCTGCGCACTCCCTGAGCCGCGCATGCGCAGTGAAAATGGTAGGACGTCATATGACGTCCTATCAGAACGAGAGAACCACCTTGCGCCCGTCATTGTACTATAGGGCGGGCGGAAGGTGGTTAAAAAGCTGTTCTCAAAATAAGGCCCACACTAACTAACACACTAGTCTTACCACCTTTAAGACCATCTGAGTTGAATTTTCTGTTACACAATGATTTTACTGGCACATTCCCATCATAAAAAAAGTTGGCTGCAAAGATATATGACCACACACATTGAGTGAAAATAAGTTTATATATTATACATATTTATATACACAAAACATGGTATATGAACGTCTATAGCTTTACCACACTTTGAGCTCTTGACATCTCAAGCAGTGGTTTTGTTCTGGGAGTTACACATAGCATTTTATTCAGAAAAATAGGAATTAAAAGAAGCTTCATTTTAAAAACAGCAATTCACCACATGGGGGTTAATCCTTCAAAAGTGAATTGGAATAATAATAATAAATAAAAAAAAAAAACAAGTCTTTTGAGAACATGGTTATCCTTCGGTAGGATCAAGTAAGTAAATAATAGTGAGATCACACTGATGGCCACTATCTGTAGCTTACTGCAGGGGGAAGTACCATTCTACAAACATTGGTCAGACCAATGCCCAAATAAGAGAACAGGTCCTCATCTATACAGCACACCTTGAGGCATTTTAATTGCATAAACACTACCAACAACTTTCATGGTCATTTTGTCTCCATTCAAAGCAGTGGAAAAATATTAAAGTGTCATTTATTATAATAATTTTCTGCAAAATGTTTCAAGTCTAATCATACAATACGGTACACAGAGGTCTTACAATTTGTGTAGGGGTAAGGAGTATCCATATGGTTAATAACTGATTAAGCCCTTACTTCCGTACTTGTAATCACCACATGGTTCATCAAGTACACAAATCCATAAGAGTGAATAAAACAAGATCTTCAGAGTGCAGGACTACAAACCTTTCTCAAGTTGAAAGCACTGAAATTGGGATTTTATTCCAACCTAAATACATTAACTATTTTCTCTATATTTACGAAAGCTGAATATAATTAAGTGCTCTTTCGTAACCTTTTAAAAGGGTTTAATTTGTTTCCAAAAAAGATAACTACATTAGTAAGATTTGGCTACCAATATATTACATTTGTAGACACTGAAGCTTATAAACTAAAAATTCCCTTTAACATTTCAAAATGGTTTGTAGCAGCGGCTGAACGTTCAGTGATGCGCAAGGCACACTGTGAGTGTTTTCATAAATGTTTGCATTGACGTACAGTACTAAGTGATACAACTACAACTCGTACCTTTCACTGCATAGTAAGATTTTCTTCTTTTGTAGGACTATATACAGCCAATAATATTGTTTTAGTGCAAAATAACAATTTCAGATTGTACATATATCGGCCTTAGAGTCGAGCTCTTTTATAGCTTTGTTCAGTACCATTTGTAATACTTTATTGTCTACATCTTAGGCCTCCAACCATTAATAAACTGTAATATTTTTTTGACCTGCAGTTTGCTTAATTTGAAGTCTTCTGAAAGAATCTCCTCTGTTAACTGGACCAGTAAATTCCCATCAATCTTTTCGGAAACAAAAAAAGACACAACATCTTCTGACAAACCAATAAATCGAAGCGATTTTGATACCTCTTCAATAGACAGTCCTGAAAGGTCAGAGGGCGGCTGCCAAGGAGAGCCATCTCCGCATGACCTGGGTGCTAGTTGCATGTGTAGAGGAGAAGAGAATGGGTAAGAAATAGAGAAAATATCCTGCATGCCCTTTTTAGCCAAATAATGTTCTTCCGTAACATCTGGCGAGCAAGTCTGGGACTCTTCTTCTGCTCCATCTATTTTCATAGACAGGGAGAGTGGCTCTTGGACTGTGTTAACATCACTTGACTTGGATGCTCGTGGGGGTAATGCTGGACAGGATATACTTTGTGTTGTGCTGTTATCAGGTAGAAATTTCTCAGTAGAACTTTCCAGCGAGTAGCTTGCAGACTTTGGGCACCCTGCAGAGATGTCAGTAAATTCATTTGGTGTCACTTGTGGACACCCAGTTAAAGAATCTCCCACACTAAAATCAAAGGGGGATGGGAAATTTCTCTTTGGTGTGGCTGGGGTCTTTTGTCGAGGATAGCTATAATAACTGCGGCACTGATCTGTGAGCAAGTCATTTGTGTTCATACCTTCAGCCCCACCACAATAACGGTTTGGCCAGGACAGGCGAGAAGGAAGGGTTTCAGATGGTGTTGTCCCACAAGGCAAGGTGCTTTCAAGGTCATTTATCTCATTCTTGATCCAGTTACAGGGATAACACGAAACCTGGGCATTGTCCGGAGAGGTGGCTACTTCATTCTCTGTGACACCTCTGGAAAGAAGAAATGAAAGTTTAGGTATACAAGTCTAAAATTATTATGTATATTCTGTTGGGGGCTTTTCTACTTATCTGCATATATCACTTATGGCTGTGCATGTTGTCTTATTGTAAAGCCATTCCTATGGAGCAATAGTCAACATTTTCTTCCCCATTTATGCTAATGTGAAGATAACCCAATCATTTAAAGATTAGCAAAAAATTGGAAGTGAAATTATGAAATTGCATTACTGATCGTCATCAAATGAAAACCTTGGATTTTACCCAATTTTAAGAGCCCGGAGTAAAATATATATCTGGCTGTGCATTAACACAAAAATAACATTAAGGGCTCCTGAAAATGGCTGTACATTAGGACGTTGGCTGTACAGAGAAACATATGCCTGGTATTGTGGCACCTGGAAGCCACAGCTGCAGTATGAGTCTGTCTATTGACATGCATTACAGAATACACTGTGCATGGCTATAAGGCCATAACCGTCATTTACACATGTACAGTATATGAATGGGCGAGAGCCTGCTGTTACACACACAAAGCATATTCTTTAATGCATGCTAGTGGGCACAATTACATTGCAAATGTGGCACTACAAAGCAACACAGGGTAAACCAGCTTAGCACATTACCGTCAAACTATTTTATTACCAAATATAACCAAGTGATATACAGTGGAACCTCAACTTACAAGTTTAATTCATTCCGTGGCCGAGCTCCATAACTCAAAATGCTCGCTCGTTAAATCAATTTTCCCCATAAGAAATAATGGAAACGGCCGTAATCCGTTCCAACCCTCAAAATGGCACCTCATATTTTTCATTTTTCTTGTTATTTCATAAGGAAAAAAGCTTTTTACATAACTAATATTATATAAAAACAAAATAGTAAGAAAATATGAAGATATAATAAGGTTGTATACAATTTACTTACCTTGGAGATGATTTTTGTTTTCGCTTAATTCTCATCACTCTCTTCACTTTCACTAGTTCTTGGCCTTTTTGCCACACTTTGCTCACTTTGAGCTGAAGGCCTTTTCTTAAGAAACATGTCTAAGGAAGTCTGTTTCATTCTCCCTTTGAGAATGTTTCTGAAACGACGTAGGCACGTGTCGTTGAAAAGCTCTGTCGCACGACTCGTTGCAATTTTTTCAGGATGGTTCTTTTCAACAAAACCTGCCACCCTCTCCCACATTGCCAAAATATCCTTGAGGTCTTTTGTACTGATTATCTCTGGCTCTGTCTCCTCTCCCTCCGAAGTAGCTTCAGTTAATGCTTCTGTGTGCCGTTGCTCTTGTAACTCCTTTAACTCGTCAGTCGTAAGTTCCTCGGAGTGCTCCTCAACGAGTTCCTCGATGTCTCTTTCATCCACCTCCAGACCTATAGTCTTGCCAATGGACACGATCTCTTCCTCCACTGGCTCCTCTTCTTCCTCAATCTCAAACCCTTCAAAATCTCTTTCAGCCACATTTTCAGGCCACAGCTTCTTCCAAGCAGAGGTCAAGGTCCTTTTCGTAACCCCCTGCCAGGCAATATCGATGATTTTGAGGCCTATTGCTATGTTAAAATGCTCCTTCCAAAACTCTCGAAGGGTGAGGTTTGTGTTCTCCGTCACCTCAAAGCAACGGCGAAACAGGTGCTTGGTGTAGAGTTTCTTGAAATTTGATATTACCTGTTGGCTGGAGGATAGGGGTGGTGTTTGGAGGAAGGTAGAGAACCTTCACAAAATTATACTCATCAAGTATTTCTTCCTCGATCTCTGGTGGATGTGCAGGAGCATTGTCGAGGACGAGAAGGGCTCGCAGGGGCAGGTTGTTGTTCTTCAAATATTTCTTCACCGAAGGACCAAACACAAGGTTTACCCAGTCGATAAAGAACTGCCTGGTGACCCACGCCTTAGGGTTTGCCCTCCACATAACATGGAGTTTCTCCTTTATTATCTTGTGTGCTTTAAAGGCTCTGGGGTTCTCCGAATGGTATACGAGTAGCGGCTTTATTTTGCAGTCACCACTCGCATTGGCACACAGGGCGAGGGTCAACCTATCCTTCATAGGTTTGTGTCCTGGCATCCTCTTCTCCTCTTCGGTGATGTATGTTCTCCTCGGCATCTTCTTCCAGAACAGCCCTGTCTCGTCACAGTTGAAGATTTGCTGGGGGATGTATCCTTCTTCCTCGACGAATTCTGCGAAAGTTTTCACAAACTCCTCTGCTGCCTTTACATCAGCACTTGCTGCCTCACCATGCCTAACAACGGAGTGAATCCCCGTCCTTTTCTTAAAATTATCAAACCAGCCCCGACTGGCTTTAAAGGATTCCTCCTCCGTTGAAGTGCCTGGGGTTTGCTGTTGTAAATCTGAAAAAATACTGCGCGCCTTCTCGCAGATTATTCCCTCGGTGACGGTATCTCCGGCAAGTTGTTTTTCCGTCAGCCACACCAACAGCAGATTCTCCATCTTCTCATGCACATCTGTACGGCGCTTTGAAATAATCTTGACACCTTTGGCTGGCTTAATTTTCTTTAGGGACTCCTTCTGTTTTAAGATGGTGCAGATCGTTGACATTGTACGGTCGTAGTGCTTGGCCAGTTCCTTTACTCGCATGCCTTGCTCATGCTTCTCGACGATTTCAAGCTTTATTTCGAGGGACATCATCCTCCTCTTCTCGGTACTCGCACTACCACTTGCTTTCTTTGGTGCCATGGTTACAACAAAGTTAGAAGTTGGGATTTCAATCACGTGTAGACAGCGAGAGAGAGAGAAAGGCTCGGAGATGGGATGCTGTGACTCATACCCTCTGAGCTGCGCGCGCCTTGAAAATATACACTTAGAGCTGCGCGCGCCTCGAACTCGTATCTTAAAATTCTGCTCGCGTGCCGAAGCAAAAAAATCGTCCGAGCGACTGCTCGTATCTCGGAAAACTCGCACGTTAGTACGCTCGTAGGTTGAGGTTCCACTGTACTCACAAACACATGTGAAAAGTGAGTGTATCAAAAAAAACAGATGAGACTGCATCCATATTCACATTGCTCAACAGATAGCATGGGAAGACCCTTCAGCGTCCTATGCGGCTTATGCATTTCAAAGGCAAACCCTCTACTTCAGAGGATTTGTTATTTTGTAGTGTTGCAGGAAAGGGTACCCACAAGTCCTGAAGGGAGGCAGCAAGGCATGTCAGTGCTATATGTGGAAGCTGGGGAAGCGGCCAGAGTATTGAGTTCTTAAGCACCACACTCAAGCGCAGGAGGTTGTGTAGTTTTGGTGTCAGTTGCAAATGTGCCTCCTGGGTGCCACAACAACAGGCATACTTTACTCTTTACGGCTAAACACCCTAATGTATGGCTGAATGCAAGAGCACTAACAGGTTCCCTAGAGCATTAAATGTTCACTCGGCAACACATCACTAATGGATTGCCTTTGACTTATTAGTATATGGAGAAACTGCATCTGTGTGACATCTTGGATTGCTAGGCCACTAGTGTTTCTTAGACAGAATGGTTGTGTGGAAGATCATGTATTATAAGTAATGACAGGAGTGCAATGGGGGGGGGGGGGGGGGGGGGGGTGATATTCCTGGAGGTGTTTGTAAAATGGAACATGATTTAGCACTGCTGTAAAATTGGTCACAGCAGTGGAAACTGCAGTTCACTGCTTTGAAATGCAAAATAATGCACATAGGGGAAAAATAATTCAGTGATAGAGCATAATATAGGGGGTACAGTGAATTAAAGAATTTGTGGGAGCTTATTTCAGATGATTGCAAAATTAGAAAACAGAGGGGGAAAGCAAATAAAATTCTGGGATGCATCACTAGAGGAATCACAATGAGAAGGAAGGAGGTCCTGACCCCTATATAGAGTTTTAGTTAGACCTCATTTAGAATATTGTGTCCAATTCTGGAGTCCTTACTTCCAAAAAAAAAGTAATGGCTCCATAAAAGAGCGAAAAAAACAAAACAAAAAAAAAAAAAAACGTTGAAAGGTTTGAGGAATAAAATATATCAGGAGAGACTTAATGAACCTTAATAAGCACAGTCCTATAAAAAATAGAAGAGAAATGGGGGACATGATTAGACAGAGGAGTAATACTAAAGGCATTAGAATTTAGGAGACTGTGGAGTTGTTAGTTTTGGCTTCAATAGGAGATTACTTAGAATTTTTTTTTTCCAAGCATGTGTCCTTTATGAAGTGCAATACATTTATAACATATTTATTACACAGTTATGTGAGGAAATTTGTAAAAGGCATACATTTTTAAAGCACACAAGTTGTCCCGTCTTATTCTATATACTTGCACTAATACAAATGCAGTTTATCTACTAAATCATAAGCCAACCAAATAAAATATTATCATTATTCTAGCCAAAACGGGTGCACTTTTGGTCTCCATAGCTCTCAGCTTGTCTGGAAGAAATATCAACATTCTAATATCTGCTGACCACACTCGTTTGTCTATATGGTAATGTATTAGTGGCCACTTCATATTTAATTTAATGAAGGACGCCATGATCAATAATGCACCAAGACTTAAAACAGCTTTACAAGTTATGAATAAAGCGGATTGGTCTTTAACTAAAAATATGGTTTGAGATGAGCTGTGCTTATAACAATGTACTGTGTGTGGACCTGTGGTTTTATTAAAGGGGCCATGATCTAAAAACATGGGTTGCATCTTTTAAATGTTAAATTACAGCTGTTAAAGATGAATTTGATTTATTTGCCATTTTCTCAAGGCTATTCCTGCTACAAAGCTAAGTGAGGACCATTTATCAGGCCTTTTCTTGGACAGTATGGGACCTGGTAGTAACCTTACTCCCTGTACATTGTAGAGGATAGTGTACAATGATGTCGGAACTATCTAAAGACTTAATACCCATCCTAAGTCATACAGCCCTGACAGCCATTAGTTTCCTCTGCCTAGGTGCAGAATCAGAACTTGTCCTGTGCTTATTAAAGGAGAACTACAGTCCAGGGGCGGACTGACCATTCAAGCACTTGGGCACTGCCCAAGGGCCCGGGGTCAGTAGGGGGCCTCATGAGATGCCCCTGGTACCTTTCATTGGCTTTTTCATGGCTTTTTTTGGGTGTGGGCGAGGACATGGGGGCCCTATGATCCCCGATTGCCTGGGGGCCCCATGAGTTGTCAGTCCGCCCCTGTTACAGCCAAAGCTTTTTTGGCTGTACTTCTTCTGTGGATCACAGGAGTGTAGTTCATTTTGCACACGTGTAAACCGTTTTCAGCTGACAGAGGGCTTACGTCACTCAGATGGTCCAGGCTTGGGAAAAATCCTGACTTTAAAGTCAGGACCCACCCCCAGAGTCTGGAGTGGCACCTGGCTCAGCCTCTCAAGAGAGTCGCTGAGTGCCTGAGCCAGCCACAGCCCAGCGATCCAGTAAGCACGGGGGGGGGGGGGGGGGGGGAGGCAGAGCAGACAGCGATCTGACAGTCACAGCTCTCTGCTTAGAGCAGCTGTGAGAACTCAGCGATCAGCGGTCACGACTGATGCTGCAACCACCTAGGTAAGTATAATTGGGGGGAAAAAAAAGCCTATATTTCTCTTTTAAGTTACCCTATGGTCCTTCATCATGTGACCTGTGATGTAAGAAGAGCCTAGTCAGGTCCAATGATAAGGAGGTAGTAGAGAAAGCATCATGCCTGCACTGCAACTGCAGCATCATACTAAATCACTCACACAGCCAGAATGGCCACAACACATTGTAGTAGCTGCACTGTCAGAGGTGCAACACTGAGCAGAAGTGCTACATTGTACTACAGTACTTTTACTGCCAGTGGTGCCACATCATACTACCGTACCCTCATCACCAAAGGTGCCACATCATACACCGTACCCTCATCACCGTGCCACATCATACTACCCTACCCTCACCACCAAAGGTGCCGCATCATACTACCGTACCCTCACCACCAAAGGTGCTGCATAATACTACAGTACCCTGACTGACAGAGGTGCTGCATAATACTACAGTACCCTTACTGACAGAGGTGCTGCATCATAGTACAGTGCCCTCACCACCAGGAGTGCTACATCATACTACCCAACTCTCACCACCAGAGGTGCTGCATCATACCACAGCACCCTCACCACTAGAGGTGCTACATGGTACTAGTCACTTTCTCACCACTAGAGGTGCTACATGGTACTAGTCACTTTCTCACCACTAGAGGTGCTACATGGTACTAGTCACTTTCTCACCACTAGAGGTGCTATATGGTACTAGTCACTTTCTCACCACTAGAGGTGCTATATGGTACTAGTCACTTTCTCACCACTAGAGGTGATACATCATACTACAGTACCTTCACCAGAGGTGCTGCATCACAACTCAGAACCCTCACGACCAAAGGTTCTGCATCATAGTACTGTACCCACACCACCAGAGGAGCTACATCATACTATCCAACTCTCATCACTAAAGATGCTGCATCATACTACAGTACCGTAATGCCAGAGGTCCTGCATCATACTACAGAACCCTCACTGCCAGAAGTGCTGCTTCATACTAGAGAACCTTTACCTCCAGAGGTGCTGCATCATATTACATTACCCTCAAACCCAGAGGTGCTGTATAATACTACTTAACCCCTTACAACCACAGGTGCTGTGTCTTACTAAAGTACACTCTTTGCCAGAGGGTGCTGCATTATACTTCAGTACTATCACCACCAGAGGTTCTACCTTGTGTTACAGTACCTTATTTGCCAGAGGTGCTGCATCACACCACAGTACCCTCACTGTGCAAAGTGCCACATCATACTACAGTACCCTTATTGTCTGAGGTGTTGCATCATACAATGGTGTCCCCACACTCAAACAACCCCAGCTAGAGGTCTTTATATGGTGGTAATGGTAATTTTGTAGGTTGTTCCAATTAAGACTTCAACAAAATGGCAGCTGTCTGCATAAAGACACCAACTTCCTGTTGCATAAATGTGAATGAAATGAGTAAAAGATGGCTTCAGCTCCTGCTCTCCGCCTGTAGAAAATGGCTTGCCCTTTTTGGGGCTAATTAGGGCCTCAGAAAAGTTACGATTTGAGCTCATGTGAAAAGCTCCATTCAAAGCAAACATTGCTGGGAAATGTATGGACCTATTTCAAAACCTCTGTACTATACCTAAAAATTGTCTTTAGTTTACTCGGGGCATTAGCTTGAAATTGCAAGCATGAGCGCTCTAATATCAGATTAAGGCTAACAAATGAATCTAATATTGCTTCGGGAATATGCTAACTGATGGATTCATAATGTATTACTGATGTACTAAAGTCTTCCAAGTATTATTCTTAAATCCTAGGCTATATGCTACAAAAACAATTCAGAAAATCCTACTTTATTTAGATCATTTTGCTCATGAATACAGATATCATCTGGAAATATCTTGTAGTTGAGTCACCAAATTATTTGCAAGTACTCACTAAGAAAGCCTCACCTATCTAAAGCATGAATTAACCTGGCCTGAGAGATTTGCAGAAACTTGTTCAACTCCAGATTATAAACACTGCAACATGTCATAATTTGATGTTCTTAATTAATTACAGGTGCAGTAATTAAAATATCTCATTTTCTGACATGTGGGATTAATTAGAACGATACAAACCATGAAGGCTGCAATTGTGCTGTTCTACGTTATAAACAACTGAAGCCATAGAGACACATGGTTAGTTTTGTACAACCAGGTTGGGAGAGAATTAGAAAAAAAAAGCAAGTTCAAACATTTTTGCTTATTGCTTTCCTCACACAATATATGTAAATGTATGCCAATGCAATCATGACCTACAAATACATAGTAATTCAGAGAAAATATACTGGGAGAGGCCAATATGAGCTCAATGGCTTTACACAGGGATTTCAATCTACCACTTGGAACGTTTACAGTCTGGGAGAGCACCAGGGTGACTACATCAAAGTACTTCTATTCCTTCACTGTTCAATCAGTAAGCTGGGGTAAGAGAGGAAACCAAGGGAGTTCATTTTAGGGTGGCTCTTTTCTCTTGCAGCATCTTATAGAGCCACTTTCGCATGCAGAGACTAGAGTTGTATCTTCCTACATTGTGTGCATCAATAGAAACACACAGCTCCTCCAAGCTAACAAACTAACTCAAGACTGCACTGTCCACTGTTAACTTTTTCCTGTGAAGACCAGATGTTTAGGGAAGCAGCACTAAGAGAAGCCAGCAGTTTATTAGAGAAAGCTTATATTATCGTGCTCAATGTTTTGAGCTAAAAAACACTGATGGTTTAGTACTACTTTAAAGAGGATCTTCAGTATGTTTGACAAAAATAAACGTCAGCAGCTACAAATACTGTAGGGGAGGCTGAACTTCCACCTAGGCGATTTAACCGTAATTTCAGTCAAAACCTAACAAAGCTTAAACCTGCTCCCACTTCCCATTTTAGGCCTATTCTATTCTATCTACCCTGTAAAAGGAAAGATGCCAATACTTTCTTATTCTGAAGTTGCTCCTAACCAATCACATTATCTCCCCAGCTGCAGAGCTTGAACGGTGACGTCATCCATATGCTTACTATGGGGCAGCTGTTCCTCCTCCACACTGAAGATGGTGCTGGGACCCGATCATGTGACTGGACTGGAGCCACTTCAGAATAGGCAAGTTAAGGCATCTTTCCTTTTACACAATAGATAGAATAGGCTTAGAAAGGGACTGGAAGTAGCTTTAGGCTTAGTGGGGTTTTGAATGGAATTACGCTTTAAGATTTTTTTAATTTGGAGCTCCACTTTGAAGGGTAACCCATCAGGACCACTAACCCTGAGCCATCCTTTTAGGGGGTCCTTGCAATGACTCGCTATCCAGTGCTAGATGGTTGATTAGCTGTGAAAGTAACAGCTATCTTGCCAGGATCTATTTAAAACAGCACAGTGGCTTAGTGCTTGGCACTTGCAGCAAGTGTCCCTGGTTCAAATGCTGTCAGGACACTATCTACATGGAGTTTGCAGGTTCTCCCTGTGCTGGTGTGGGTTTCCTCTGGGTACTCCAGTTTCCTCCCACGCTCCAAAGCCATCCTAGTAAGTTAATCAGCTCCTATCCAAAATGGCCCTAGTATGTATGCATGTGAGATGGGGACCTTAAATGCTAAGCTCCTTGAAAGCAAGGGACTGGTGGTAAAATGCTGTGTGTAAAGTCTTGCGGAAATTGTTGGCGGTATATAAATGAATAAAAAACACACACATGCATAAAACGGGTTAAGGGGAAGTTTTATATTGCTGCAGTGCTGCTTCTAACCAGAAGAGGGTTCATTGCAGGAATCAAGCTATAGTGCTGAAGCAGATTTGTCTGAGATAAAGCAATAAAAGCTTTTTCTTTCCCTGCAAGGCAATGCTGCGCATTCTCGGGTGAACCTCTCCGAAGTAAACGGTTTTCAGACTGGAGCAGTTTTCTGACTGTAATTCATTACAATCTCTAGTGAACATTATTTCTATACATTTATTGCTTTTCGTACCATTCTGGTGACCTAATAAAGTCTTTGAAATCTTTTTTGCTGGATAAATAATGCTTTCTGACCTTCTCATGTTGCTTTGGTAATGATACATTTAATGCAAGCCTGACTTCAAAGGCGTCTTAAATTCACCTCGATTGCTTCATTTCTGCTGAGCTTTACATTATAATGCAGTTCTCAGCTTTCTGGCTGAACTTGGGGAAAGAAAAGAAACAGACAGTGTTTATAGAGACTGGTTGTACTTACATGCTGTGCAGCCCTGAGGAGTAGTAGGAAAGCGTAGGACTGGGAGAGCGCGTTTGCTGCCGTGCTAGTTTTCCTGTTGGTGGTGGAACAGATGGGGTGGGGGACGATGGTTTGGAACTGCGTGGAGGCACAGGTGGAGCATTCAAAAGTCTGCATTCTTCTTTTACCTAGGAGGGGGAGTCCACATTTAAAAAATGATTGAAGCAATTCACTGGAAAAAATAACTTTTTAACTCTGAAAGTAATGTTATACAATGAAAGCATGTTACAGAAAAAGTGGCATTCATTTTAGTAAGTTTCATAAATGTAAGACATGGTGGCTGCCTTTCATGAATTCCTTGTTCAAATTGCTAGCGATCACATTACCTTGAACAAGGATGCAGATCAGGAAAGTGGGAGAAATGTGCAAAGTCCTGCATACCTGGTTTGAGTTAGTGACTCCAAGTGCAGAAACATGACGATCAGCATGACAGCCAGACCATTTGCATTAGCAGAACGAGAAGCCAGCGGTAGCAACCTCCCCGTATCTGCCAAGAAAGGTTTCCTTTAAGGAGGGATGGAGGCTGCCACTGTTGACCTCCTCCAGAAAACGCTAGCTGTTTGGTTTCGGGAATTTCAGACTTAAAGGACCTGTGAATGATTAACTAAAGCCAGCGACTGCGAGATCTATAATGATGTATGTGTATATAAATTATGTTACCGCAGTCTGTGAGACTGAACTGAAACATGTATGCAGCAAGTGACGTCAGGATGTCCTTGAAGCCTTTGATAGACTACAACAGCCATGCAACTATCATTTTCAGAACAAGAGGCCAGCAACGGCTGCCAGAATACACGAACAGCGGCTGCATCTAATTTTATGTGGACACTGTTTGGCCAACAATGTTCCATCTGGCTCCATTATTATTTCAATCAGATGTTCCATGGTTGGGTGACGGAAAGGCCACCCATGGAGAGAATTTCAGGCAGTTCATCAGGAACTAACTGAAGCTTGCATATTGTATGGCCAGCTTTATTACCAGTATCTATTAATACTTCACATTTGTGGTGCCCCTGACCCAGCTAATTAGTCCCACATCCTCTGATGATAACATACAAGTTACAATCTCACTATACAATCTTTGTGCAATGAACTTTAGATTTACCAAAATCATAAAATATGGTTTATTACATAGTTATTCATAGATGATTCCTTTCATTTAGGGTGGTTCTCTTTTCAGTTATGGTAGGTTTTTTTTTTTGTATAATCAATTTTTATTAAAGGTATTTCAAAGATAGGAAAAAAATAAAATACATTTACAGTAAAAGAATTGTGTCAATCAATTCAGAATAAGATAAAGGTGAAAAGTCATGCTATACATCCATAACTTTATTACCGCCGGTAATATAATCAGTAGTATAGATTCGTTATAGGTTATCAAAGATCTCAGTTCCAGGATACATGGGGAAACAGAAGATATGCAGTGAAAGCTTACAAACAGTAGTTTGTGTGAGACTGGTCAACCATATAGAACATGTAGTTATATGTAGTGGTGAGTGCCAAAATAGGGTGCATCAATCAGTAGTAAGGGGCAGTGTCTATGAACTCAAGTCTACCAACTGGGGAAGGTGAGCCTGAAGGCAGCAGCCTGCCTGGTTAAAAGATTAGGAATGAGGTGTACTGTGTTGGGAAGGTGTGGGAGGTGATAAAAGGCCTCGTAATGCTCCAAGCTCAGATGGAGAGACTCACTCGCGTCCAAGAGTATCGACCTGGTAGTATTTTTTTTTTCACTCTCTCTCCAGTCTTCGTTTTGTGTGGGTACTTCTCTGTGTGGTTTACTATGAAAGTGGTTCTACCACATCACTCATCAGTGATGGTTTTAACTGCATTGTAATAAGCAACTTATATAACACCGTCAATAGAAGAGACATAGAAATGCCATGTTGTTTGGTGACTATAACCACTGCACCATTCCTTTGATGGTGACCTAATGGGTCACCAACATACTGACACTGCAATTTTGCTGTTTTTTTTCAGTTAGTACGGTGTGATCCCAATTATAGATCAGTCTGAAGTAGGTCAACTCAATGAAGCATCGATTTAATACTTAGAATTGCATTCTTGGCTTTCCTCCAAGATGTCCTTTAAGGAGTTGTTCAAGCAGGTCTGTTTGTATTACAGATGAGTCACACGGTACAATTGTCAACCCGATTTACATGTGGGAATTGTGTCCTAATTGTGCATGCTATGAGAATGATTTATCTGTACAATAAGACATTAGTTCAGAATTATCTGTTGCTGACAGTTTAGACTTTAACAAAATTCTATGCATATCAACATATCTTTTGTCCTCTGTTCTGTATGTTCCACGTATGAAAGAGAACTGGTGACAAATAATTGAAATTTCTACTGGGTCACTTTGTATGTTAAAGCATACCTGTGACAGACGAGGTACTATACTTGCCTTTCCAGTCAGCCAGCTTGTTGATTGTCACCTCTTCACCACTCCCCCTCCACACATTTTGGTTTCTCCCACTGGCTCAGATGTCACTACAGCACATATGAGTTAGTGGGAGGTACCATTGATTGTGGTGGGGGAAAACAGCTATTCAACCCATCTGTGCAGGTGAATACTTTCAGTGACTGGGGAGAAGTACAGAGGCAGCACATAAACAAAAGAAATTATTATTACAGTGATCTGTTAAGGTAAAGATTTTAGCAGTTGCAATCATGGCCAAAAATATTGGCACCCCTGCATTTCTGTCAGATAATGCACCACTTCGTCCAGAAAATTGTTGCAATTACAAATGTATAGGCATTCTCATGTTTATTTCTTTTGTTTGTATTGGTATGACACAAAAAAGTGGAGAAAAAAAAAGCCAAATCTGACACATTCCACGTAAAACTCCAAAAATGGACTTGACAAAATTATTGGCACCTTCGCAAACTTGTAAGAAATAATTGCATTCCAAGTTTGTGATGCTCCTGGAACCAGTTAAAATGGTGAAAAATTGACTCAACTTTTCTGTTATGTCTCTGTGCGCCACAAGGAGCACGGAGAAGAGGAAGAGCAGCAAAGAATTGTCTGAGGATTTAAGAACAAAAATTGTGGAAAAGCATGGACAATCTCAAGGTTACAAGTCCATCTCCAGGGATCTTAATGTTCCTGTGTCCTCTGTGTGCAACACTGTCAAGTAGTTTACAGCCAATGGAACTGTAGCTAATCTCCCTGGACGTGGACGAAAGAGAAAAATTGATGAAAGATTGCAACAAAGGATTGTTCGAATGGTGGATAAAAAATTTCGATCAACTTCCTGACAAATTCAAGCTGACCTTCAGGCACTGTGTCAGCTCACACTATAGATCGCAATCTGAATGAAAAAGGACGCTATGGTAGAAGACCAAAGAGGACCCCACTGCTGATGCAGAAACATAAAAAAGCCAGATTGCAGTTTGCTAAAACGTACCTAAGGAAGCCAAAATCCTTTTGGGAGAATGTGCTGTGGACAGACGAAACAAAATGACTGCTTTGTGGTAAAGCCCATCATTCTACTGTTTTCAGAAAACGTAATGAGGCCTTTAAAGAAAAGAATACAGTCCCTACAGTCAAACATGGTGGAGGTTCAATGATATTTTGGGGTTGCTTTGCTGCTTCAGGCACTAGATGTCTTGACCGTGTGCATGGCATTATGAAATCTGAAGACTACCAAAGAATTCTGGGATGCAATGTAGGGTCCAGTGCCAGAAAGCTGGGTCTCCGCCAGAGGTCATGGTTCTAACAGCGGGACAATGACCCAAAACCACACATCAAAAAGCACCCAGAAATGGTTTCAGACAAAGCGCTGGAGAGTACTGAACTGGCCAGCAATGAGTCCAGATCTCAATCCCATAGAGCACCTGCGGAGAGATCTCAAAACAGGAAAAGGAACCCTTCTAATCTGAGAGACTTGCAGCAGTTGGCGAAAGAAGAGTGGCCCAAAATTCCAGTACAGAGTTGTAAGAAACTCATTGATGGTTAGAAGAAGCGATTGATTTCAAGTTATTTTTTCCAAGGGGTGTTCTACCAAATATTAAATTGAGGGTGACAATAATTTTGTCCAGTCCATTTTTGGAGTTCTGCATCGAATGTGTCAGATTTGGCTTTTTGTTTCTCCATGTTTTTGTGCCATACAAATACAAACACACACAACAAACATGAGAATGCGAAATGGTGAATTATATGACAGAAATGCAGGGGTGCCAATATTTTTGGCCATGACTGTACCTACCTTTATTGCACTCCCACTTTATGATTTCTTGAGGTATTGGTGGCTTCAACCTCACAGATGCCCCCTGGGCAAGCTACATCAACAGTGCCTTTCAGGAAGAGAGCTCAACTCTTAACTCGGGGGGATCTAGGACTTTTTTATTGCCATTGTTTGGGGATCGTAATGACACTTATGCAGCCATAGCAATGTACAAACAACAGAGCCAGATCTCCTACTGCACATGTGCGAGATCTGCCGTTAACATCATTGGTAAGCAGCAGAGAAAACATGAAGAAGAAGCTAGACACTAATGATAGAGAGGCACATTGGGCAAGTATTCACCATTAAATGTGTTTACTGTACAATAATAATTACAGTATTTGCGGCAATTTTACTAAGGAGGTCTGCTTTACATACAATGTGACTCTGTGCTGCATACAAAGTGCCTAAATAAAGGGAATGTCCAAAAAATTGACACATAAGAAAGGTGTTCTTAAGATAACAGAAACCAGCTTTGGCATCGCCCGCATCCCTGCAAAAGTGCATATTACTAATTACAAGCAGGTCTGTGAGAGGCTTAGAGATGTCTTTTGGAGAAGTGTCACCTTCAGAGAGAGAATACAGCTAAATAACAGGTTCCTGAGCAGTAAAGTTACACTACTATAAAAATATAAAAGCAGTGGTACTTATATAAACAACAGCCCATACACAACTGGTTCTCTTTAAAGTAAATCTGTGCTCCATTTAAACTGGTAAAAGTAAATGTCCCATCTAGGAGCACTACACTACAGGATGCCTGCAACAATCTTTAGAAGTCGAAAAGATTTTGTGTTCCTCTGATTTAGTTTCAGTCTGATACTTGAGCTTGACCTTCCCTTACATCATAGCAAAGCTCTGCCACCTGACATTTCACTGGCCAACAAAAGTCTGCTTCCTGACCA